GGTTCCACTGCTCAGGGTTGAAATTATAGGGCCATGGTTCCTAAATTTCACATTGGTGGCTAGGGCATTTGAACCTCAATATATATATATACGAGTGGATTCTGAGTCACCAGAATCACGACGAGATGGTAATCAACACCGAATTGGACACACCTTTTCCTCAACCTGAAGAAGTCTAAATGGCAATACTCCAAACTTCGACTGATGAGATCCTGTATACCATTCTCAACCTGTGGAAACAGAACTCATCCAGTCTGGAATTATGAAGAGGGCCCCTCAACTTTGCCTTCTTCTTGAAGAGTGGAGGAAAGTCATTCAACACTCTGGAGGAATGACCACTGTCCACCACCTCAGCAACTAGTAACTGGGTGTGGTAAGGACTCCCTAGCTCTACCAGTAGAAACAAATGGAGAATGCTCTGAAAACAGTGTAATAGGTGAACCAAGTTCCTTAAATATTTAAAAGCAAACTGACCCTGATCTGATATATTCAATCTAATGATAGGCAGGATTCCCTTATGCTTTACTCATGATAGTCCATTAGTGGAGGTCTTGATCAATACAGTAATACCACCCGACCTGCCTTTAGATGGTCTTATGGAACACTCTATTTCTACATAGACTGTTGCATCCTAGATAAATTATATTGTGTTAGTGGTTGCTAGTGTGAAAATGGTTTGATAAAAGCACACCTGCCTGGGCAACACTTGCCACAGAGTGGGTGTGATCCAGGAAAAAATCAGGTAAGGCACCCTGTAAAATAGAGAAACAATATTAGTAATGAAGATTCTTGCACCTCCTTATAAATCTAGTGGATGTGGTTAAGATAGCTACCAGGAGTAGTCAAAAACCCTCAGAGGAAGTTACTGTCAGGTCATGCAAATAATGTGAGATAATTGCATTAGAGAAAGTCAACATACCAGCCCATGCAATGTCCTCCAGCAAGCATTTCAACCAGGCCAATAAGGGAATAAAATTGTGATAAATCTGAAAAGACGTAAGTGACTCAAAGAAAACCTCACCTTAAAAGAGAGCTCAGAATAAGTGATATGGATCAATTTCCATATGCACTTCCACAAGGTAACCTGGGAAAAGCCCCAGGAAACTGAAGGAACCCAATGAATAAAAAGTCATTGTCTAGCACCTCTAAAGGCATTATTGTGGGCAACACAACACTTCAAGACCCTAACTGGTCATAACAAACGATTGATGGTCTGATCAGTCATAGAAGGGAGAAATAGTGATCGGATGAATTGGTGAAAAGGATTTACACCCTTCCCTGGCTGCCAGTGTCTTAGAGAAGAAGAAACTTTCTGAGGAAGTAAGTAGAATGATAAAGTGTCCTGTACACAATCAGTGCAAATAACTCTGACTGGCAATGTCTGTAGGTTGGAAGCAATGAAAATCAAACCTTCAGGGAAAGGTGATAGATGGTACATGAGGCTACAGTCTCAAATGGATGTTAAGAAAGTGCATGCAATACCACCTTAATATACCAGTTAGGTAACTGAAATGGTCATTTGGGAGAATTAAATAGAATACTATTTAATACTACTACATCAAATCACATAAATAACACAGAAGAGCAAAGTCTGGAATACTTTCTAAAAATACTAAAGGGCTAAAGAAATGAAAGATCAGTAAAATGTTAAAAAAAAAAAGGCAATAATGATTGATCTGAAACTATTTTGCAAATAACACTATCTTCAAGTACTGTACTGTCATGATATGTGTTTTGTTTTTATAGCAAAGCCACTTCGGGCTATCTGCTCTGCCTACTGGGGGACATCATAATGTGATAAACACTGGTCCATTTTATAAAATTATATGGTAGATGTAGCCTTAAATGACAAATATTGTCCAATTCTCTTAATTCTGAGCTCATTTTACTTATAAAACACGTGCATAGCAGGATTCTGTATTAAGTTTTATGGTAGAAAAATCACAAGTGTTTTTCCTACAATACTATTTGAAGAACAGTGCAAGTTATGAAATCTTAATATAAGAAACAAAATTAAATGTTGAAGAAACAGACAATTATCAAATACGAAGATCAAATATTGTAGGAATTTGTGGTTGCTCAGATGTTATTAGAAGATCATATTTTTTACTGGGAAAACATGCAACTAAAGATACTGAACATTACTAACAACATGAAATAGCATTAATTTACTCTCATGTAGACAGGATGTTTACAAAAAATGAGACACGTATATGGGCAGAACATGAAAATTATACAATATGTACTGGCCAAAGCTCATTAGTAAAGAAATTGGCAGATACTCAAAAAGAAACCAAAGTCATCTACACCAGATGATGATACTAATAAAGCATGTGTTGAGTACACAGTTCTTGTTCATGACCAAATGTACTAACATCCTCAAAATGATTCAACTGCAGTAAAAAGGAAGGATTATTGAAAAAGTGTGACATCCCGAGTCTAATTCTTATGAAGTAATGAGCACGTGCTGGAGTTCTTGAACAAAGAGTGCCTTATAAAAGTTGACATAGAGCAACTTTAAGTTATCTGACCAGCAGAAAAGTGATATGCACAAGTATGTGCCAAGATATCAAGCTTCTTGTATTGCCATAGCATTAAACAAGGAACAGAAGATAGTCCATGCTGGTTAAGTCTTTGTATAAAAGGTTCGTTTTTCGAGATGTGTTACTAGTATAACCTTAGAATTAAATCAAATTTTAGTATTTTAACTTCTCTACTGATCAAATAATTAGTAATTATTTATTACTAATGGTTTTGAAAACCATTGTAAAGAACAGTCTTTCCCTAAACTATGTTAGCAAGATTATCTTTAAATGAACCCTGTGATTTATAATAAATTTACATGTGGTGTGTTATTAGAATCTCTGTCTGAGTTCCTTAGACTTCACACAAACACTTTAACTTTGTTGATCTATTCCTGATATTTCAATAAATACCATTGCTACTGTCCCTCCTGATGTGTCCATTACATTTACCTGCTCCACACATCTTTTACTTGAATAATGTCTATTTGTATAATAAAAACCATTGTTAGTGAGTACTGTCCCTCCTGATGTGTCTATTACATTTATCTGCTCCACACATCTTTTATTGAATAATGTCTATTTGTATAATAAATACCATTGCTAGTGAGTACTGTCCTTCCTGATGTGTCTATTACATTTATCTGCTCCACACATCTTTTATTGAATAATGTGTATTTGTGTCAAATTTGGGCTCCATTTGAATGATTTCGCACATACAAGTAACTTTCAGTAAAAGAAAAATGTCCATTCTATGTAATACTAAATAAGCATACAAAAAGAATATACAATTAAAGTAGACTGTGAAAGATTTGAAGTGTATCTTTGTGCTTTCCTTTTCCATTGTCCACCACTGCACTTTAAGAATGTGCATTTCTGAGACATTTCGGTACTTTTAACAATCAGTTTTTGTTTGTTTGTTGGTAAGCCCAAAGCTACACAATGCACTATCTGTGCTGTAAGCAATTTCAGCCTCCCCTCAAACATTTTTCTAGCTACATTTGAACAAACTATGTGGATTGTACTTGACAAAAGAAATCGCAAAAATTTGCCAAATGGGAGTTCAAAATGCCTAAAGAATATAAATATGCCATTTAATATCTTACTAAAACATCAAATGGATAGATCTGTTTTTGGATCTAAGTATACAGAAATGAAATCTGCTCAGTGAAAAGCAAATGTCTGAACCTTACCTTGAACAACAAACCAAATGGTCCCTTGCTATTCATTGGTTATAATGTGTTCATTCCCTTACTAAAGACTAATCAGAATCTTGTAAGGAATATGTTTCTAAGATGGGCTGTATTATATGTGGGTTAGTAATAAAAATATACTTTGTCTGATTTTTGCCTGTAACTCTTAAACTTTCAGACTCAATGTTTTTAGAAAATTTTACACAATTAGTAACTTTAAATTTAGTTTTGCTTCAAAATACATTCATACTTGCAAAGTTCCAAAATGTGTGTTCATTACCAAGGCCTAACCTATGTTATTTTTCTCAATATTTTGTTCACTATACTTTTTAAAGCTATTCTGAAGTAAAGATGCAGGTGATACGAGTATAACTAACAAAACCATTTGTCTGATCTAGGCTGGTGTAAGAGTTGTGCTGTCACTGCATCTGTCATTTAGTTTCATAAGATATTCCTTTTATGAAGAAAAATGGCAAAAAGTGTCAACATCCATTCCTGCAGGTTTACAAGTTGCAGCACAATTAATAAGACATTTACCATCACTTAGAATGAGTACATTAATGAAATATATGAAACCATATTAATTTTTGATAATAATATTTAAGTCTTACTATTGTCAAGATAAATTCTGTATTAATACAATATTTATTGTACGTATGTTAAATGTATTTAAAAACTTCTGTTAAAAGTTGTGGGAATCTAGATCTAGCTACTTTAATCATGTTTTTGTTAGGTTTATATTATGACTGCTAATTACAAAATGTGTTGTTGAAAATAATTATCACCAGTAGCAGCTCAGTAGAGGCTACTGGCTTAGTTATTGTGCGAGGTCTCAGGTTTGATCTCTCTCTCTCTCTATCACAGCTGATGTAGAATAGGATTACCAAGATATCACTGGTTTTAGGTCTGCTATGTCCTACACAAAACATTAAGCAAGAGAAAGTACTCTGATATAAATGTTAAGGTATCTAAGGGATACAAAACAAGTTAATTTACTCTGCATTATATGATCAAAACTGCAGCTAAGCCTAAATAATCATGCTATTTTGAAAAGAGAAAATATCATCTAAACCACAATATAAATAAATTATAAAAGTATACACTTACTAACAGTTAATGTAGAAGTTTCTACTTCATTTTTCATCAATTTCATATCCAACAAAGCATCTTCCTCACCAAAAAAGGGTTCAGCCTTAATCTTTATTGCTTCCATGATTACATTAGGAAGATGAAGTTATCTTCACTTTCATAACCCATTACCTGCCAGTAATAGAAATTTTCGTTTGAAATTATTTAGGAAAATAATTCTGTCTAAACTCACTAAATTAAGGTATACAGAGTTTTTAAAGTTCCTACTGTTTACATAATAATTATGATACATTTCCATGTGGGAACAATGGCTGGAATTTGTGTCAATGTGTTGTTCAATCAGGTCAGTAATGGGAATATTATTTGCAGATATTAAGTTCAAAACATTTACTAGTGCTAAAAATGTTTTTATTTATTGTTACTTGGAGCTACAAACATACATATTTTTTACATATATAATGTAATTCTAAGAAAAACTAAATCAACATAAGCAGAATTACAACCCACAGCATAAATATAACTAACTTTCATACAATGGTCGTGGAGAAGCAGCTTATATCCTGAGCACATCATTTATTTTAGTATTTTCCTTGCAGTGTTTACACCAACCTTGTTCCACACTTCCAGAAGACAGACACATTGAATCTTAATTTTACATGTACTTGATTACCACTAAGTCCAATTTTGCTCACTTGTTGTGCAGACTCATTAGTAAACAAATACCTCACAAAACATCATGTGAATTCAATAATTTTGTCTTTCATACTTCCCTATAGATAAACAATGAGGCAACGCACAAGGTATTCAACATTTTGAAAAAAAAACAGGAAACTACCATTTTTTAGATCTAATTGATGGCTTGGTTTAAGATACAAAGCAATCCATCAGATCATCTTCTCCCATATTTTTATTGAATGGATGGATGAGGTTAGGCTGCTTTATAGAAACCTTCTTTCCAGCACTGAGCATCAACAAGTGTAACAATAATATCATAATTTGTAACTGCAGTTACAACTGCCATTCCATTAGATAACTAGTATTTTGCCATCAGAGTAATACTTATAAATTCCACACACTGCCTTCTTCACTGATTTTGAATCTGTAAGAGGGCATTTGTGCAGCCTATTAACCCAAGCTGTCACTGTTTCTTTCACATTTTTTCTTTTGGAGTTTTAGGAGGTGAAAAAGTTGCCAAAGAAAATTGTATGAGAACCAAGATCACTAATACAAGAAAGCATGTCTTCAACAACACTTGTACCTAGAGGACAGTGATCAAGAGACATTGTCCTACCAGATTATATATATCAAACTTGAAAAGATAACCATGGGATGAATTTAAGCACAGCAGTTTGTAACCAAACCTTATTGACTTTCCTTGTAGAAATATTTTACAGCTGTGGTAACCAAAATATGGTACCAGGTATTTATCAATTGAAAGATTCTCATGAAAAACACCAAATTGTTGCAATGATTTATGTGCCACGTCAATCAAATTGTTATTATTTGCTATGTGTAAATAATGCTTTATTTCTGGAAATCTGTTTCTGGACATTCTTTGTGAAACAAATGGACGAGTAACATCATGTGATCCTTCCCAGTATATTCCCTCTCTAGGAAGTTTATGGTAACCTGTCAAAATGGCTATGACACCAAAACCTAAGAGATTTGCATTGTTAAATGTAAATATGGTGGGAATTTGAATTTTCATGAGCATACTGAAGTGTTTCTTCTACTACAGGTTTTGAATATCCTCATTCAAAATCTTCATAAACAGTTTACCTGTGGAAAGTGAGCATAACTCTGGGTAGCACTCAGTCAGTGGCATAATATCATTATTTTGTAAAATGTTTTTAGTACTTTTTCTCTTTTACATTTTACCTTCATGGGATGTAATATCTTCTTTTTTTTGACATTGGGTGAAATTGGTGATTTATTATCACCATAATCTTCATCCTTGTTATTGTTGCTGACTTTAACTCTCCCAGGCTGGAGTTCAACTTTAGATTATTTGGATCAATTGCCCTTAACTGCCATTGTTCCCATTTGAGAACTACTTTATTCAGTATATTTCTAGGTAATTCGCCAAATATTCTGATGAAATGTAGTTATTATAAAAGAATAATCAAATATCTTAATATTGTGGCAATAATCAACAAAATCGAAATAAAAGTACTTACCAAAACAAACTTAAAAGTTCAATCAGTGAGTATATCAAATTCAATATGTGTGATTCCAAGTTCAACAAAATATTAAGAAGCAGCAAGTAACGTTGTAGTTGTATGCAGCTATATAACTTATAAGTTATTACAATTTACATTCCTTGGGGAATCTATAACAAACATGTCAATATAGGTTATCTTTTAAACTAAAGATACTTTTGACTAGTTTAAGGCTTTATATAGGTAGAAATTGTAATTCAAAATGTGTTCCCAAACGCGAAGAAGGACACACTAGTATTAAACTTTTGAATTTCAATTTTTTGGATGAGAAAATATTGACAAAAATACGATACAAATAAATTATACGGTATACACTAACTAATAATTAATGTTAATTATTGTTAAAGGAGCACCCACGTATGCAGGGGGATCGCCCGAACTCCCATTTTGTGATGTAAAAAAAATATGCTCGTATAGTTATATCGAAACTACTTATGGTATTTAATATTTTCAAAATAATCTACATTCTTATAATGAAGCATTAACATTTTTGGCCTGAAATAGTCGTATGCAATGGCTTCTTTTGGCACTTTGTAATTGGAATTCCGAAGCCATATTGCCACTGTCAGATTTTGTAGTCAGGATTCTTTACACTAGATGTCTGTGACTTGTTAACGATCAGTTTCAACAATAAACAAACAACAACACAGTTCACTTGTTTTAAATATTATATTAAAACAAGTCAATCGTATAGACAAATGTTCGTTACATTGTTGGTTATCAAAGTTATATCCAGAGCTTTAAGTAATTGTCTCTTTGTTGTCAAAGTCCACACAATCCCGTGCCGTATCCACGGGGGCGCGAAAGGGAGCAATGCGCTCTCTAAAAATCTGCCTTAAAAAATAAAAGAATGTTTTTTTTTACTTTTTTTCGAACTTGAATAATTGCAATGTACTCATTTATAAAAATATTAGGTAACCGAAGTAATAGTTACTGTAAATCAATATTTATAAAATAAGATATTGTTAAGTCTCCGTTTGTTAATTGATTTTCCGTAACTTCGTTCCGACGAAACTTAAGCGACACAAATCCTTTCTTAATAAAACTGGTTTACTCTTTCCGAAT